CTAAGATGTATATGTGGAACTGATGACTTGGTGGAGAGACAGGTGTCTGGAATGTATATGTTGGGTTGACCTGGTATCTAAGAGTGTGGGGTGTAAAGACAATGTGTTTCTCAGCATATAAAAGTACATTATGTACTGGCTGTGGAAGTGATCTACTTACTATATTCATGAATTATGAAAACATCTTTCTTAGTGTGGCATTTCTTGATATCTTTAAGTTCAATAAATTGCTGAAAATAAAGAAGAAAGAGAATAAGAATCAAAGACTAAATGAATGACACTTTTTTTTCCCTCAACAACCATCAGTGCCTGAAACAATAAACATTTTGATTAATACAACTTCACAGTAAAACAGTTCAACTGACAGTTACAGAAATCATAGCTTGAACCATTTTACTGGAAATCTGGGTTGCAAAAACAAACTCAGATGCTATAAAAATAGTTCAGAAGTGTTTACACATTTAAAATTACTGTTCAATTACAAGTAGAAATCACAATAAGAAGACTTACAATTCGTTTTATTTAATACAAGAAATAAAAGTACTGTTTCTGTGCGGATGCCGGCTTTTATTCAATAATTTATTAATTGCAAGTTATATTTTAAATTCAAAATATCCTGGTGCATTGTCAGTACACGCATATAATAGAGATGTGGCCGGAAAGTTTTATTCATGTTGTTACACAGTAACAATATCAAATGATAATTTGTGTATTCAAAGCACACGAAGATAGAAATTGCTTCTACCAGTAATGCATGCACTTACAGAAATCATGACAGTTTATATATATATAATTATAATTATATTAAAAATGTATATTTAATTAGAATTCACGGTTTCCACATTTAGTTTAATTGGAATGGAATGCTAGATATTTATTAACACATCGCCGTCGGACGCCATTTCATACAAGTCGTAAATCAGTAGATGTGAGAAAAACATTGGCAGAGGTCTGTTGTTGTACATGTATTTGCCATTTGTTACAATATGTTGCGTTTCTGAATGCCAGGAAATCCATATGCAAACCAGAGAGAAGGAAGATGAAATGTTGAAACTTCCCACTTCGGAAAATGTGCAACCCGACTTGTGAGTTGTCCATCAATAAGGAGGTAATTCCTTTCAAAGAAGGGATCAAAAACATCTCATATTCACATGAAATTTTTGTAAACACGCTCAGCAAGCCAGCATCAAGGTATGTGTTCAATGATGAATCTCTATGATTATTATGCTATTTTTGGGCAATCAGCTTGAGAAAGTGGTAAATGGAGTGATGGTATATTTCTAGGTCTTGGACACCACATCATGTTGGATTCTTATTACACCACCTATACTGCACCAATACCATTGCTGCAAGAACTGATGCATGGTTTCCCTGCATGTATGTATGGAGGATTGTGACAAATGGCCACCTTGAAATGTACCTTGTGATCAGGAACATAATCGCACTTGATGGCCAGGTGGAAAGTTACACCCAGATACAGTGTAGTTCCTTGTCCGGCATCATGAATCAATGTGCACAGAATGGAAAAAAGGAATCAAGCGGGAACAAATCGCCAATGTGGCATGTGGTGAATGAGAGGAAGACACATGCCAAAATGTTAAATACCCGAAACCTGAATGATGTGCACGACATTTGCCTCGTATGCTCATTTATAATCCCAATAACAAGGCTGATTGTTGGGAGAAATATAACGTGACAACATAGAAAGTACATACCATAGTACTCATTGTATATAGAAAACAAGACTGAGAGAAATGCGGCTTTTTTCGCTACCATGTAGTACTGTCCTCATGTGGCTGTGTATAACTGAGCTAATGTAACAAGATACTTCAGCAAAGTTTGTGCAATCACAAGCAAATATTTTACGATAATGGTGCGGTGAGTACATGTAACAAGACACTTCAGCAAGGATTGTGCAATCACAAGAACATATATTGCATAGCAGTGTTTTGCTACAATGTAGCTGTGACCTCACTATAGATCACACACAGTTTATTTAACAATATACTTCAGTGAAGCAGTGAGCTCTCGTGAAAATACATCACAATGAAGCGACTTTATTGTATAGTATTTAAACTCATGCATATTCATAAAGAAATGAAACCCTCGGGTTGGAACAAACTTGTTTATTTTTTATGTTTATTCCAAGTACGCAACCCAGACACTCGTGCAAAAACAGTATTCACTGTAAATGGTGGAGGCTTCCCGACGACGATGTGTTAAAACCAAAATTAGAAAACCAGTGATGTACAAACTTGCTGCTTTGCACAAATAAACAACATATTTGGCTTGTAAGTGCACTATATTGAGTTCACTTAATATAATGAATAAGGTATGTCTATAATAACTGTATCAACTTTGGTAAACTTGCTGTGTTCTAATTAAATCTTAAAAATAGAGACTTTTATGACAAGATATCCTACATCCTCAGTTTTCCTTCCACGGATATTGAAGCAAGTCTACAATTAACATTGATATCATCCATGTCCATTTTCTAAATATCTCAAGTTATTTTCATCATCTTCAAAAATGGTCAGTTAGCATTTGAGTGTGTCATTTAGTGTAGTCACACCACTGATAATTTTCTTTCTGTATGTGTATTACAGAGTGTTTTAGGAAATAAACCTGCTTCAATATATATAAAGGTTCCATCAATCGGTATACATTGCTATATAACTATAACAGATTATATCTGTGTCACAGGTAATACACACAGATTTACATCTACCAAATCTATTTATCTACACTCAGAATTATCTACAATATATCGTCATAGCAACAGATATGGACCATGCCATGCAATCACTACATCATTACTGAAATCCTAATCTCACTGACATTTGCATTTCCTTCAAGATTTTGCTGTCATTGTTTGTAAAATTATCCAATAATTTTATTATTTCATTTCAAGATATTCTCGTTTATAATAATAATGGCCAGGAGTAGATCTCAAGCATGGTGGCTGCCAGATTATAGCAAAACATTCTCCAAAAATCAAATGAAACGTAGAAAGTCGGCAAATGCAAGCGTCAAGCATTTCAGATGGTCCTCAAAAATCCACACAGTCCACGGACATGACTCACAAAATATACAATTTCACGGATGACTTTTATCTAATAGTACTATATTAGACACCATAAACATGCCAAGTTGTAGTACCTCAAATTCCTTCACCACAGCAGTGCATGATGGGAAATGAGAAGAAAACAGATTAGTAAGAGGAACTTCTCCCAGTTGGGTAGGCAGCAACGAGAAACTAACATTTTTTTTTAATATACCAACATTTGGCTGCAAAACGGTAGACTCAGCACAATTGAGGACCATCTCAAATTGGTCTAGAGAGGGCGCTAGGCACAGAAAATGCGTTCAGCTAATAATGGGATAGGTATGACCCCTCCTCAAAGTGGTATAACCAAATAACATTTTTTTTTTAGTTTAAAAAAAAAGTAATTTTGAAGAAAAAAATCCATATATACAGATATATAAAGTGAGGCATGTTGTATTTTAGTAAAAATAGACTGAGTGCAAATCACAAATTCTGTGCCATGGTAGAAAAAAAAAAAAAAAGTGAGAAATGAGGGTATCAGAATATTAAATAATAATTGATAAAGAAGCTGAAACTGGTGAATTATTTTGAGACAGACCTCAATGGAACTGAGAATAAAGACAGAAAAGGAGTGAAGATGAAAAGCGCAAAGAAAACATGCGCATAAACAACAACACAAGTACTACGGTATTACAACTTTAATCTTTTCTGTGAATCTATGCAAAAATATGATGCAAGCACATGCTACATTCAAGTCTGATGATCATCTAACACATTAGCTAGCTCAGCCTCGCTCTCTTGAATATCAGTATTTTTTTTTTTACCTGTGTGGTTATTTTTTGTTTACATTTTTCTAATAACACGAGAAATAAAAAAAAATTCTAACACACACATAATTGAATACTAATCAATGAATACAAAATTGTCCGAGAGTTTGAATGAATAAATTTGTTTTTTTTTCAGTCTTTTAAGTTCAAAATATTGAATGCTGGCTTAAGTGATATAATAGATATGACAGGCAGGCAGGCAGGCAGGTATGAAAGTGAATGGCCTGTATGCTGACCAATTATAATTGGTGGGCACTAGAAGAAGATGTATCCAGAGACAGTTTAACTATTGATATGAAAAAACAAAAAACAAAAAACAAACAAACAAACAAGCCATGAAAATAAACACACATGCGCATGTTATTAGAATAATCTGAAAAACAAGCGAATAATTCAACTGGAACCAGAGCCAGTAAATAAAGTTATTCTAAAGTTGACAGTTGCAAACTCGGAGGATTAAGTACGAAAAAAGAAATTGAAGTTAAAAAAAAAACAAAAACTACTGCTACACCTTTGGGAAAGGTCATAGGTGAAAGGTTGACTGTCATGGCAACAAAACAGCACAGCTAATGAGATCTGGGCAACACCATGTTCAAGCCTGCCCCCATTTGAGTTACTACGGAAACCACTGCTAGAGCACTGAACACGAGACCCTATTAAAGTAGTTGCTTAGTTTAGCTGACGGCGCCTTGGATTTCCTAGGTGACATCGCCTATTAGGGGATAACAACGAGAAAGGTCGCATGGAACAACTGAAAGGGTGAAGCCAAGTTTTACACAGCGAATTCTATAAGTGTAAAACTTGGCTTTCAAACACTGAGTACAGATGAAGAGTGCTGTGGGTGTTCAGAATGTGTTAATAGGAGAGATGTGTGTGGCCATGGTAACCATCCTGGATACAGCATAATTGTTGACATTAAACTAAGGTTAGTACATCAATTATATTTGGAATATCTGGTTACTGGACTTACTCTCGGCTGTGTTGTGATAGGTGAAATAAAGTGTTCAATCATGCATGCCCCAGCATAGCAGCGAAAAAAAGAGAAAAATTAAGATGTACTTGTTGAGCAAAGTCACTCAGTCAACATATACACAGAAGATTTACACCGAGACGACAGAAAAGATCAATTCACACTAACAGACACGTAACGATACACTATCATAGAAATGAATTTTCACCACAAATTAGACAACTATGTAACAAGATATTGTGATTATCAAATGTTATTATCAAATGATTATCAAATGTTCAGCCAATTTTCATTACACCACACAAGGTATTTGTTGCAGATGACAAAAATGTAGCTGATTTATTTGCATTCTTAGTTACATTGTTTGTACATTATATTGCTCAAAAGCTGACATGTTCAGCTTTGACTCACATATTACTCGAAATGTCAAAAGCTAAAAGCTAAAAACAAAATGTTGACAAAATTATAATTTTAAAGTGCTGTATTGATAATTTGAATTTAAAATAATATAATTTTAAACAGTTAATTGATCAGATGTTTAAAACTTTAACACAATTACTATTTTTTTTTGTGGCCATTTGGTTTGTAACGAGGAATGACGTTATTAGTTGATTACCGATAATGACTAGTAATTATTAGTACATCCAGACAAGACTGGGTTCGACAGAAAAACATCACAAAATCCACTTTTTAAAAATTTTTTAGACACATCAAAAACAATCTGATGACCTGTGTCCAATTGTTCGTTTCACAACAAACAGGAAGAATATGCTATCGATGACAACATATGGTTATATGAACTTTTCAATGATATGACATTCAAAAGTAAATTGACCTTTCCAAAAGTATAGTTATACTAAAAATTTGTGTGAAAATAGATTTCGACAGATTCCTTTTTTTCTTTTCACATAACAAGGACTCCATACACATCATACAACACGATACATACAAGTGTAATAGACAAAGACAGGACAGATGGATTGGAAATAAGATGTCACATTTTGTTGGATATGAGGTTAACAAAATAACAACCTGAAATTAAATCACAAAAGATGAAAAATACGAACAAAGTTGGCAACTGAGTATTGGTGGAGATACTTAAAACACT